GCACACTGACAGCTTTTTTTCAAAATAGTAAATATAAATTAAACATTTCTCTTCTGTTCCCAGAATGGCATCTGCCAGTGAAGCCAGGGCTGACCTCAAACACTTTCCGCAAGCGCGTCTCAAACCAACACGCTGGGTTTAGACGCGACGCTCCCCAAGGCAAAGGGTTTACCTGCGGCCCAGCACGTAAAAGGCGGCCTGCAGCAGGAGAAGCGTCCTTACCCGGTCACAAGCTCCTGAGCGCCAGGTGACCGTACCACCGGCCAGCAGGAACCACAGAAAACTCGGGCAAGCTGTCAAAAGCCAGGCTGTGTGCGAAGGACTGGAGATGTCGCAAGAAGGCGGCGTTGCTAATGGAGAAGACGTACGTCATACACCACGCACGTAATTTTACACCAGTTATGTTTCCATCTCTCCTGTATATCTCTGGATGAAAACTGATGCACCATTAGTCCTCCTGATGAGCGAGGGAACCCGTCCCGGGGAAGAGCTGACAGCTGAAGTCTTTGCTCTGTGACAGAATCCACAAACACTGAAGGCAGTATCCCACTGTTTTTTATGAAAAATATAAATATGTCAACAGTTGGACTTAAACAGCAGCCATCCCTTGGTAGGAACTTGAAAACCCTGTTTATGCTTTGCACAGGCTTCCAGCACCTTTCCACATAAGAAGTGACCCCGTAGCTTGGTCTTGCCCCCCACGTGCTCCCAGTCCGCAGGAGGAGGGATGGGAGCTGTGCTTGGCAGGAATGGAGATACGGACACCCCTCCTCCACGGAAAAGTCCCTCCTGCAGCCCGTGCGGGACCACGCCGTGCGGCCAGGTCCCACCAGGGCAGGGCTCGGGCACGAGCCCAGCCTCCGGGCAGCCCCGAACGTGCTGGGAGACCACGAGCTGGACACTGCCGCCCCGGGGGTTTGACTGAAGCTCAGTGAGCAAAGCAGACACGAGGGCTTGGCTGGCAGTCGGGAAGTAAAAATGACTTTGTATAAATTTTTTCACCCCAACGCAACAAGTGAAGAGGGACTTCAAAAACATTTTTTAACTTTGATGAGTCTTTATCCTTGCTTCCTTCGGGGTGTACCCGTTTGCACGGCCAGACGGTTGCGGCCATTTGGTTCATCAGGGTGGAGCCCAGAGCCAAGGGGCACAAGCTGTCTGCGCGGGAAGGTCCGAAGGCTGCCACAGACTTCTCCAGAAGGATTCCCACTCTTCCCCTATCACGACTCTCCACAGACAGACAGGGTGAAGGCTATCCGAGATCCAAGCGGCCAGGAGGGCTGCAGGTTACACATCAAGCTGTCTCCTGAAGGCTGCAAGTTTACACCAGCAGCGACTGTTGTTGAGCAGCTGTGAGATTTATGCCGCATTTCCAAAAAATACGAATTCTCAGTGTGATCTCTGTCTGAATTTGGCAGAAAAATATTTAATGGCTGGCAAAACATTAGTAAATAAAAGCAGATCAAGATGATGTTGTTACAATAACAGATTACATTACTATTCTCTGTCCTTAGGAAAGCCCTGATTAGACCCAGATCCTCACAGGGTCTGATGAATAAGTCAGGAAGGGTCTTTAATGACCCCACGTAAGAGCATGCGAGCTGCAGCGCAGCCAGCGAGGTGCCAGGTGCCTCTCGGAAACAGGCACGAGCCTGGATGACTAACAGCAGTTATCACAGGGGGTCTGTTGATTTGCTTTAATAATTTGGGCCAGATTTTCTGCTGGTGTAAACTAGCATGGCTCTGCTGAAGCCAAGAGAGTGCTGCCAATTTATATCAGCAAAAACTGACCCTTAGTCTATTTTTAATCCCTTTTTGGTGCAAGTCTTCATTATCTTATTGAAGAGTTCTACCTCAGTCCCCACTACAGGGACGAGCAACAGACTTTTCCTGTTAATCGCTGTATGGGAAACTCCAATAGCTGAAGTACCCTTCCACATTTGCAAGCGCACCTAGCATTGATTGCTGATCTTAGATCTTGAATTGCATAATTACTGAACTAAGAGAAAATTACTTTTTGCCTGCGAGTGTCAGGACAGCTCTGAATCCATGAATGACTCACCCTCAGGCATCGGTGTTTAATTTATGAGCTATTTATCTCCTTGCACACACCCCAGCACAAACAATTATACTTAGTAATTTGTTGATCTTATCAAGGCTGTTTGATGTTACTATTGCTACCTCCAATAATGCTGTGCTTTGAAATTTAAACAGGATTTCTAGCCAAATTTGGATACTTCGCACACGATTCACATTTCAGGGAAGTTTAACTCCTTGGCAACTAAAAGCTTTTGCATGTAATTTTCAAAGGAGAGCAAATGTTGCGTCTTTTGCTGACAAATTTGGCGAGGTGGCCCTTCAGCAGCATCAGAGCCCCTGGTAAGAGCTTGTTCTGTCCTTGCACGTCATGAGTGAGTTTTCCGAGCAGAGGACGAGTGGGGAGAGCGGGTCCCTGTCCTGGACCAGGGCACCACATTGCCTCCGTCCATCCACGCTTCAGGACTTTATAAACCTTAAATTATTACATGTTTACCATAAATCAAACTTTATGAACCCCTCTGTGCAATCTAACTCTGATTCTTTGCTGTCAGAGTAGGTACCAAGCTTGGGGCCGCACGCGCTTCCCCGAGGCTGTGCTGGGGGGGCAGGCAGCTCCTCTGGCTTCGCAGCCATGAGGTGGTGAAGGTCCTTGCCAGACGGGTTTCTGAATCCCCCTCGCAAACCTTCCTCCTCCGTGCGTGCTGCCATGGTGGTCGGGCTCACTGAAATGCAGCAGGTGTGCAGCCAGCACAGCCCACACCCCGCTCGGCTTGAGCTGAAGGGTCTAGGTCACCAGGGATAAAAACATGGTCAGCACAGAGTGGTACTTCTCCCACCCCTACCCTCTCCACACACCCGTGGTGTGTTACTTATCTGCATGTGGACATACACCCCTATAGAGTCTCAGCCTCCTCAGTTCCCCACGATGTCCGGAGTTCCTGCGCCGCAGGGCCTGGCAGTGCCGAAGCCAAAGACCTTCCTGTCCCGCAGCCGCGAAGGGCAGGGAAACCCCCGCGTCCCTGTTCGGCCAGCCCGGATCTGCCAGCCCACGTACTTTCCAAGACGTGAGTGAATGTATTTTCTTAACTTCTACATCGCATGTGCTCTTTGCAACAGCCGCAGATTTTATTTTCTATATGGTTTATAAAGCTTTTCTGTGCTGAGCACATACATTTTGCATGTAGAAAATAAACGGCTGCAGGCATTCCGTAGCTGCGCAGGGCTGTAATGAGCTCTGACGAGCAGGCACCTACCAAATCATCCGTTTGCGACGGCAAGCGCACACATGTAACTTATTTCACAATATGCAACACGCTGCCATATGCGTCTGTTCTCGTGGATCAGGAATGGCCACGACCTGTAGATAGAAGCCAAGAAACAACTGCTTCAAAGACAGCCTGGAAACGCAGAATTGATGTTAAAACTTTCAAAGCCCAGCCAGCACACCACTATTTCAATCCATTGGGATACTGTGTTGAATACCACCACTTTGATTATTATTATTATTTTTTCAAAGCCTCTGGTGGTTTTCCTGGTTTAATTGAAGTGAAATGATGGATTAGCGTAATCAAACATATGGAATTAGTATGGGGGGAGTAAAAATTAAAACAAGAGATTATTAGTTTTAAACAATTACTAACTTCTAATGATTTCTCCCCCTTCATCCTCTGTGAGCTGAGTTCGTGAATGGAGAGAAATGTTAAAATTTAGCTAAAATTTTTTAAACTAAAAACCTTGCCACACGCATTGCTCTTTCAGGATGCAATTTTACGGTCTCTACCTGCACCTGGTAGAAGAAATGCTCAGTGTTCAAACCATCCGACGGAACGGGGCATGCAGCGTCACCACCGACCGTGACGGTGAGGACCGGCAGAGCCCTGCGAGGACGGTTTGCACAAGCCTGGCAGCCGGAAGGACATAAATCGCCGTGCCGAGAAGGCGCGTTGCCGACACTTCTGATGCTATGAGGGTTATTTGCCAGTTTGCTGGCACAGAGGCAGGAGGAGCGGAGCCCACTGCCACCAGGCCGAATGCCGGGGGGCTGCGGCTGCCAGGCGGGCTGAGGGGAACGCCGCACTTGGCAGGGCTGCCCCAGCCCACGGCGGGCACTGCCGGGCAATCACCAGCATCTGTTAGGTGCCAGGAGGTGTTCAGCTAAGCTACCCCAGCAACAGCCCAGCCACTCCAGCCAGAAATTTCTTCTGTGGGAGAGGAGGAAGAAGACCACGGGTTACGACACAGCGTTTTCTGGCATACAGACTCCTGGACCAAGCAGGCCCTGTGGTCTCGAGAGAGCAGGGTGAACCTGGGCGATGGAGAAGGTAGATGGAAACCTGCAGCAGGTAAGAAAGGATCCTTCAGGAAAGATAAATAATTTAAAACAATGATAGTGCTACCACCTCTACAGGGCTGGACACAGTCAATGAAAGAGCAAATAAACCTGAAATTAAGACAATACTTTTTTTTTTAATATTTTGATTGAAATGCAGAACTGGGAAGGACATTAAAGAGATTGTGCTCTTCACCAGTGTTCGGAAATAGCCTTGGAAGAAAAATTGCTTTGGAGAGCAGGCAAGAACAACGGTATTGGGTCAGATCAGAGGCCCATCCAGTCCAGCATCCTGGTTTTTGACAGCAGCCCACAGATGCCAACAGACAAGGTATACATACCAGTTTTTCTCCCAGCAGTTTGTGACTTAAGGACACTCCAAGTGTAGAGGTGACACCTTTGTTTTTAACAAAGGGTTTTTTTCCCCCCAATCGACCCCCTTTTTCTTCCTTCATGGCTTTTTCCAGGCACTTTTGAACCCTTGCCAACCTTCAGCATCCACATCATCTTGTGGCAAGAAGTGCGCAGCTGAAATCATGTAAAATAAGTATTCGTTGTAGCCTGTCACCCAAACTAGCCTGAGCACTGAATTTATGAAGACATGGCAAGGCTTCAGTTCCTCTGTGGAACCTTCTGACCCCAAAGATGCTCAAACGGCAGCCGAGAGATGGCCACCTACATCTTGGTGGCTCTTACCATATTAAAACCATAGAATGGTCTGGATTGGAAGGGACCTTAAATATCATCTGGTTCCAACCCCCCTGCCATGAGCATGGACATCTTCCGCTAGACCAGGTTGGTCAGAGCTCCATCCAACCTGGCCTTGAACACTGCCAGGGAGGGGGCACCCACAGCTTCTCTGGGCAACCTGTTCCAGTGCCTCACCACCCTCATGGTGAAGAATTTCTTCCTAATACCTGATCTAAATCTGCCCTCTTTTAGTTTACAGCTGTTCCCCCCTGTCCTATCACTGCACACCCTTGTAAAAAGCCCCCCTCCATCCTTCCTGTGGGCCACTTCAGTTACTGGAAGGCTGCTATAAGGTCACCCCGGAGCCTTCTCTTCTCCAGGCTGAACAGCCCCAACTCCCTCAGCCTGTCCTCCTAGGAGAGGCACTCCAGCCCTCTGATCATCTTCGTGGCCCTCCTCTGGGCCTGCTCTAAGAGGTCCATGTACTTCTTGTGCTGAGGGCTCCAGAGTTGGACACGGGACTCCAGGTGGAGTCTCACCAGAGCGGAGTAAAGGGGCAGAATCGCCTCCCTCGACCTGCTGGCCACGCTTCTCTTGATGCAGCCCAGGATACGGTTGACTTACTGGGCTGCAAGCGCACATTAAAATAAAAATAATATGAAAAATAATAAAAATGTTTACTCCTATTTTCAAACAGCCGGATGAACACACCTGAGTTTCAGGCAGTTAGGTGGCTATTTCTAGTTCATCACTGACCACCAAGCACACCCACTATCTGTTTTATTTTAGGTGACATACTACAGAAACAATATTAAGTTTTATCCGACATATTAATCTGCACAGAAAGCCCAAGCCTGCTCCCCTCGTGCTGTTCTGGGAAACGCCCATTAGGACAGAAAACTGTACCCTACATAAGAAGTACCCATGGGTACAAACAGTCTTCAAAAGTTCAATCTCCGTTCTTCTTTGTGCTTCTTAGTGGTCTGAAATGTCACGTGTTGGGGTGCCCAAGCACATCACCTAGACATTGCTACCGATGCTGCCTATAAAAGACAGCACTAAGCCCTTATTTGTCTGCAGCAATGTTTTTATTTGACCAGGAACGTACTTCTAAAAGCGAATCTCCTGATCACACCTTCCCCCCCCCCCCCCCCCCCCCGCCCCCCCCCCCTCCCCCGAGGAGTCTCACAGCAGGCAAACTGGTTATCCCTTGGTGTATCTCAGAGCAAACTGGTTCTTTAAGGAGACTGAAAACTGCACTCTTAACTCCTCATGGGACCAGCCTGCACCTAGTCTGAGGCAGCCCCTCAAACACACGCCGTGGGACCATCAGCTCCTCCATGCCAACCGTTTTGCTCTCCAGATCTGCTCCCCTGTGCCAGTGCAGGCACAGCTGCTTCCGCCGCCATCTCCACACCCCTTCGGGCACTCACTTTTGGTCAGTTTGGAGGAAGGTAGCAGCAATTTCCCTGCACCACTGGCATTTGTTTGATCCCAGAAACATGCCATCAATGCCATGGCTGTTGAGCACTGAGGAATGCAAGTCAAGAGGAGGGGATAGCACTGCTCCTCCTCTGAGAAATTCCCTAATTTCCGTATTTGCGAAGAGCAGTGCCTAAAATGTCTTCTCACCTGTCTCCAGCTGAAGAAACAAAACATGTCCTTCTACTCACCATCATCATCCCCAGTGATCAGAGGCCACTGAGAGTGAAGAGCACACAGGCAGACTTCACTTCTTCTTCTTAAACAGCAAATGTGAGTAGGAAGGAGACATTGCACCTGGAGTCACCTGTTGAAACGCATAAATAACGTGTGCTTGGCTTAAATTAAATCACAATTCTATTTGAAACAAGAGTGCTTGAAACTTGCTACATTTCTCTACAACTTTTTAGGAGTTGTACATCTTCAATGCGTAGACCCGCTGAGGAGAAACACAGGCTGCACATATTCAGCGTGGCAGTTGCCACCAGTCACCAGTGATAGGAGAAACAGAGCTTGTCAGATTATTCTTTCTTTTAATAAAACTTGGTTTTATTCTGGAATAATTGATTAGCTTCAGTAGTTAAAAGAACATTAGTTAAAACAGCTGAAGAGACAAACTATTCAGGCAAGTTAATAAGCTGAAATGTAAAACATTGCAGAATACATATTTTTAAAGATGTGCCAAATGTTTTATGTTCATTTTCTATTTTCAGAATATTGCAATAACTCAAAAAACCCTGTCTACCAAGAAGAACTTAGTTCAATTTTTAATTACTTTTATTTTCAGAACAGGGAGGTATTGTGAAGTACATACACTCAAATCTAAACAAATACGGCTTATTAAATGTAACTAAGATATGCAAAAATACAAAGCAATCCATTAATTGTGCTGTCCTTTAACAACTTCTTCAGCGACACGTAACAATTAGGGAGCACGTGAATACTTTGGAAACCAGAACAGGTTTCAGACAGGGCAAGAGAACACGTCTCAGCTGCTGCTTCTCCTTCACCAAGACGTGTGCCCCATGTCTCGCTCACCTTCCACTGCGTCCAAAGCCCGGCACAAGCCCTCCTCTGTTACTAGCGCCTTGCTGACTTCCAAGAGAAACAGGTAGGCTCTGTTTTCTTTCGGATTGACTTTTGACACAAGATTTGGTGGTCCTCATCTTTTCTCAATTATGTAACATCATAATAACACCAAGAACAA